CCTCTTCACTGGCCTGTGATCTAGTGCGTCACCTCAGTGGCAGCTGGCAGCACCTGAAGAGCGATCTGCCGCAGTTGAGGGCACAAAAGGTGAGCAGCGTGGCCGCAGTACAGGCATTCCGCAGTCGGCTGGAGGAGCTGACTAACTGGGTGACTGAGCATCGACGCATCCTTCAGGAGGACCTGAGGCCACACTTCGCCTGCCGTAGCATTGAGTGCTCCTTTGAGGAGCTTGTCGGTCGGTGTAAAGAGCCCGCCGTCGGGGATGCTGTGGACAGATTTGCGGAGTATTCGGCGAGGACGTCTGGGTACTGCTCGCAAGTGACTTCTCTTCTGCAGAAACTCGAGGTGGGTTTTCCTTCTCTAGTCTCCACTTTGACATGGACCAGCAGAAGATAAACCACTGGTATTATTACTTGAATTCCACTCGACCTAATGCACTTGCTGTGTCTTACCATTTTTACCACCATTACATGTTTTTTTTATTTGCATGTTTCCTTCTTGTGGCGTTACAAGTTACATGTCTGTATTTACTTACCTTTCGTTGGTTGACGTCCCGGTTTAGTTACCATCCCCGGAAATAATCCTTTTAACATTCATCATAATCACTTCCTTGTAATACAGTACTTCAGTCGGCGTTTAACTGTAGGTCCTGAAAATTATTCAATTGAACGTAGGCCCACTTTAATAATTTTCTTCATGATAGTTTACGGAACTTGCTGACAAAGAAACCAGGGTAGCTTTATTCGGTGCCCTAATGAAAGTTTAATTGAATATTCGATCATAACGACGTATGCTTATATGGACAAGCTTAATTACTGACACAATTAACGGTTTATGTGGAAATGCATAGTTTATAAAGGCGCGTCTTAGTATGGGCTGAAATTAATGAGGGTTAGTTCTGCTGTTATAAGCACGGAAGAAGGGTGGAGGGGAGTTAAGGTATAGAGGGGGAGTTGTGCGATTGATAAGGCCGAGTCTACGCCGCCTCACCGCATGTGTCCTTGGCTGGGAACTGGGCCGCGCCACTTCGCCGCGAGCGAACGAAGGGCATGATAGCAGGGTGGTATGTCAATGTGTTTTTTGATGGATTTTGAGTCAGATGCCCAGGCCTTCAG